GAGGGAGGGAGGGAGGGAGGGAGGGAGGGAGGGTTGGTCGGACGGACGGACTTACAAAGAAAAGGAAATTGAAGAAGAAAATCAGGTACTTGATGCACTTTGTGCCGCCTTCACCCATTGTGATGCAAAGAGTGTTTCTTCGTTCTGAAATACAAAGAGAAAGAATATTACTTCAAAAAAGACAACGAAGTGATAAGACAGCCGAGGGTCGAATAGATTATTGACTCGTAGACCATGAGGGAAAGCCGGAGACCGTTTTCTTAAATTTGCGTGCGCATCCAAATTTAAGGAACTTGACGGGCCACGATACCAGAACACGAGTATTATCATACATTGCTATGAATTTTTTTGTTTTGTGGCCCGTCAAGTTGGATGAGAAACCTTGCGAAAACGGTCTGTTGTTTTAGTATAAACCTACTAATAGTACATACATACATACATACATACATACTTTATTGAAGCTCCCTTTGACAGGGCTTTTCAGCCACAATATAATATAAATGAAGTATAAAACAATTTACAATCCATTAAAACTATATACTACGGTGGCCGAGAGCCGACATAAAAAAAGGCAAAATCAAAAATGTCAAAAGTTCAAAAGTCAAAGTGATTTTATAGGACCATATTACAAAGTGAGTTTGTCTTTTTGATCAATTTCCTCTTGTTATTTTGTCACAAGACATTTTCACATTTCGTCTCAAGCGACTTTGTCGTCCAGTATTTTGTCATGAAAGACTTTCGCTTTTGACATTTCTCCGTTTGGCCTCCGACATTTTGTTTTCAGGCGATTTGTCAAACGACCAAAAGTAAAACAGCGAAAAGTCAAACTCAGATTGAAAGCTCCCAGGCGTTCCTCTTAATAAACAACCCACGCTATATAGTTCGCATATACAAGCTTGACAGAACTTGAAAGATCATTCATCTGCCAAAACRCAAAGATGTACATTGATCAAGAAATTTGTAAACAAACATATTATGATAATTAATTTCCTACATGTTTTTGTAACTTTATTTCCAATATTATTTGTTTTAACTTGATAGTTGACAATGGGAGAGGACTCTCTGTGAAATCTATCATGCAAGTCGCTCATTTGACAGAACCATACCAGTCCATACACTTAACTTTGCGTTGCTGTTAAAATATTAATGTTCGATGTCTATAGAATATTGATAATCATCCTTAACGCCTTGAAGTCCAATGGAAAGTTTAGATTAATTTTAATTGAGAGTATTTTTAACTTACTTAAACTTACTTACTTTAACTTAACTTCTGAATATTAAAAAAGTAGATTGATCGCCGAAGCAATGTTCTTGTATGTTCAGTAGCGTATCGAGGGGGGGGGGGGGGGGGGGGGGGCCCCCCCAAAATTTCGTTAACCTCGTATCAGGTGTTAAGTCTGTTTTAAAAACGAAAAGATCTGAGGATGTTTGTCATGAGTACTTTGATCAAACAGTTAAAAAGTGCGAAGAAAGTGGCATTACTGTCCCCAATGAGCAATCTAAGAGAAAACGAGTACTTTCGTCGCGTGTAGATAGCAGTACTGGCTTATCCTCGGCTAACCAGCATCACTTTAGCAGTGTAGAGATGAAATACAGAGCTGAGTTCTATTTCGATGTCCTAGATAATTTAGCTTCGGAACTAAATAATAGATTTAACAAGAACACGGAATGAGTGTTGAAACATGTTTGGGTCTTGTCTCCAAAATTGTTTAACACTAATGTTGTGATTGAAAGTGTGAAAAACAGCTTCAATAAATTGGTAGAGTTTTACAGTCGCGACATCGACAAACATGCGGCAAAGACTGAATACGATGTATTTTTGGCCACAGTTGCATCCGAAAGAAAACTACACGAGAATGACCATAGTTTTAAGGACTGCAAATCTATGATAGAGGTGGCTAAGCATATGTTTGACAAATGCTATAACCGTACATTACCAACAGCCTTCCGTTTATACAATATAATTATTACCATAGCAGTTACCTCATGCTCAGCAGAAAGATCATTTTCCAAATTGAAATTGATAAAGAACTGCTTGCGTTCAACGATGGGACAGAAAAGGCTATCTTCACTAGCAGTGATTTCATTGGAGAGAGATCTGTGTGATAATCTCGATCCACATGCAGTTATGAATCAGTTTGCTCCACATAGAAGAATGGAACTAGCATTTTAAACCGTTTGAGTTAAGATTTAAGAATGGTTAATAAAATAATATTTGTTTCTTAAATTTTTGTTTGAGCGTTTATTTGTTTTAATTGGGAAGGAGTAATTTTTTTATATTTTGGATCAGCGCCCTCCCAGCTCCTAGGTCCTAGCTACACCCCTGTGTATGTTAATCTGCGAAGGTACCAATCTACACAATAGATGTCGCTCGAGACAACTAACGAAAATTCGCTCCAATAAATAATCCGTAATTTACAGACTTGAATGAAGACAAATTAAATAGTATTTCTAAACCAATTTCCATAAAATATTCGCTTAGTTTACAGTGTAAATAAAGTGTTTAATATTAAAATTTCGGGCAACAAATCGACTGTAAGCGCCGTGACCCTTGAAGGTCAAGATAAGTAGTAACGCATAACGCAACGCTTTTTGTTAGCCAAAAAGATTTAAAAGAATGATTCCTGAAATAAAGCACTCGGCTGTACTTTTAAATTAAAAACAAAATCCAGAATTCGTTTTTCAGAAGACTTAGCAAATAGAAATCTGTTGCATTCGTCTTCAGTCATCTTCTTGTATTCAGACAATCATCAGAATCACAGAATCTAAACTCAACAAAATAACAAAAAACTAAACAAAGTAGGTGTTAAAAGGAAAATAAAAGGACGACTTATCATCTTACCAGCTAAATCGAGTATTTAAAATATGAAATTGAGCGAAATACTTCGAAACATTTGAATGTCAACAAGTATAAAAACACAGGAAGCCCAATCTCTAGAATGTCAACTAGTATCCACGAGTTCGCCATAGGGCGGTTTGATTACCTCAACCTTGGAATGGCCTACTACGCAGATGTTTTCAGGGTCGTCACGCAACATTGGAACGCTTCTGATTTGTCTATTCTCACGTGGCGAAGGTGCATGATGCGTGACGTACGAACTCAAGAACTTCGGCGTAAAATGCTAGCACACTTACATCCTCGGAAACCCACGGTTAAAATTCTGTCCCTCCTTTCTCGCTCCCAAGATCAATTTAAAATTTCATCTGCTGGCAAAACTGGATTTTGGGATTAATATTTTTTAGAGAATTGATTGTCTGAGGGCGATCTGCAAGTAATCAACTAGAATAATCATTTCAACCATGGGTAGACTAATATTTTTAATTAGATTTTTGCGAACACTTATCATGATAAGACCTCATGTCGCATAAGTGCTTGCAGCTTATTACTACTTTGAAAACGCAATTTTATTTCATAAATTATACATCCCCATCAAAGATTTTCTTATGTATATCCGAATAAATAAGAATAAATGTCCATTCCTGTTTTTCCAAATGACATGTCCTTGACAGACGACAGCCAGCTTGAGCATCTTAAAGTCGTTGAACATCAGACAGCTTCTATCTTTTGCAAACTCATTCCTTTTCCTCTAATGTGCAAATCATTCTCAGTTTGCTAACTGATAATTTTAAAACACGTTCAGTACCTTCAGGCTTTGTCAAAATATTTTCATATATCGCTAGAGTTATTGTAAGACGTGACTACGTGTTTAGAGAGCTGTCAAAACGAAGGTAAATAAATATACGCCTAAGTTGCTTATTAGGTTTCATTACCAATCGAGCGTGGACCCTCCTAGATCTGCTCGACGACTCAAACTTTTCTGTCTTTTTAAGCGAGCTCACAAGGTTGAAAATAAACTGAATTAAAGCCGAAACAAAACCCGTGTACGGTATGCACTACCCAGCGAATAAAAGCGCTATCTATAGTGAATAGTCATCTATAACTCTAATATACACCTACTTGCAAGAACGTTGTCATACGAAAATGGAACATTAGTGATTTAGTGGGATAGGAATTATATTAAAAAACAAAAGAAGATCACTGAAGCTGATTTTTTTCTTTTCTCTTTTAATGTATTCCTTTCTCATTAAATTACTAATGTTCTAATATCGTATGACAACGTTCTTGCAAGTAGGTGTATACAACAAAGGCCAGATGATTCAAGCTTCGTGCAACCGAATCACGCAATTTTCAAAATAAAGTTCATCCATTGAATTAGGATTTATCCAGATACTAAAAGATATCTTGCTTATATATTCGGGCTTCGTACAGTTCGTATTAAGAATACTATATTCGCATCAGTTTGATGTTTTGGCATTCGAAACACAACTCGAAAACGAAACACAGAAAACAGCAGTGAAATTACGAGTAGTATAAGTATAAATACGTAATACGCAAATCCTGTATTTTGTCTTTCGCTCTAATCCAAAACTCTAGTTCATTTAATACAACCTGAAGATTTTTTAAGTCATGGACATGATGAATGAAAAGATGGAAAAAAACCCAGCGAATACTTACCTTTGAACAGTACAGAGTAGATTTATAATCCAATCCTTATTCTTTCAGGTCCTCGTGGAAATGATATTGAAAGCTAATGGGGTTTGGCTGATAAAGGATCAATATTGTTACTGAGGGAGGGGTAAGAAAGTCAATTTTTGGCAGCAAGCTCGCGTGTTTTTTCGCAGGGACGTGACGGACCAAGTTTTTCTCCTGCATTTAATAATTTTACTTTACTTTTTGGAAACTTCACACAATCTACCACTTAGAGATTTTCAATTCACATTTTCAATGAATTTTGTACATTCCTTTTTCTGCCCCGTCATAGTTGATTACTAGGCTATGGGAAATTACGGAAAATTACCATTCGAATTGATTGACACATTTTTGTATGACAGGTCAGAGTTTAAAAGTAAGCGACTTGTTTTCATAGATGCCTGCAACGATATTAAATACTGGAAAGGAAGTGTAAAATGTGGATATTCAGGATCGAATTTAGAAGGTGTAAGGCGCCTTAATTGAGTGACTGCATAAATTTAGGCAGTCCTTAGTTTCAGCTTGTGTTTCCTCCCTCCGAAAAAGAAAAAAAAGAAAAAAAAAAAGAAAGAAAAGAAAAGAAAAGAAAAGAAAACGAAAGAAAAGGAA